ATACAATGAGAAAATACGATACACAATATGCACGTATGTAGTAAATCTATAAGACATCACGATACATCAAAAACAACTATTGTTGTCGATACGATCTCAGATATACTTATGATGAAGACTAGTACATGTATCTCAAATGCTGCACACTACAACAATACACCTTAATTGTTCACAGAACGTTTAAATATCAGCGAATGCGTCACTCAAGGGCGAGACTGCCTCTAAACTTGCCATGGCCACATAGTTCACTTTTGTAAACTGGCAGCAATAGCTGTAGATAAGCAGGATTCAATCAAAATTCGAAAGACCCCAACAATTGCTGCAGTACTCAAAAAGACAAGTAAAGCCCTATGTTTTTGGGAGCCATACCATGGATATGAAAAGCCAACAAGTAGTGCCGCCCCCGAAATGACTTAATGACCCAGACTGAGATATATCCGCACATTGATCACTACCGTTGTTCAACTGTTTAAAGACTAACACGAACATGAAGGAAAGCAAACCCAACGATCGTAGGGTAATTGAGGCGAATCTATCGCAGCATTAAGGTAGAGCAGGAATACAAAGATCGGAGCGGAGATGATGATTATCAAAAATGATCAGAACGCTCCGATTAGCAAACAAAACTGCAGCCAAAAAACCAAACGAAGACTGTAACCACTCTCGAGAAATAAAATGGACAGAGAGGGCTAATTTGTACAATGAAACAGTAATCAAAGGAAGAATTGTACACGCCGGAAAGAAGACAAAGGTTCAATACAAACCGTATAGAAGAGAACTTAAGGCAAGATTTATAATGAAACGACCACACAAAAACGTTTTTCAGCCAGCGGAAATTGCCTTCTACTTTCCGAGTTTCTCCTTCACCCAGTCTCGTATCCGCTGCCGCAACTCAGCAACTGAAAACATAATCGATACGTGCGGCGAGCAAACACATGCACTGGCGAAGGGCGAAATAGCAGACCGATCTCTTACACTTTTCTACACGTTGCAATAAAAACAGCAGTTGAAAGTTACCAGCTGGTAATAAAAAAATGATGAGCAGTTGCTATGGCTCACGCCAGAGCTCCAAACAGTTTCCAAGGGCAATGAGAACAACCAGAACCACCGACAAATTTAGTTAAGGGTTCATTTCCTCGGCTAGATTTCATTGCATTCTCAAGCTTAAACGTCAAGGTTATCATTTTATCATGGCATTTAAAGCTTTTAGAAGCAGCAGTCACAAGTTTTGTCTTTCCTCCTTCACCTCATTGCCGCATAATAAGTTATGACTTACATTAATTCTAACTAGTAAGGTCATTTTTAGAAAGATTGAAGAGAAAAGAGAAAACCATACAGATGTTCGACTAGCTAAAACAATACGCACTGCGAAAGAATAAAGTTAGAGCAAGACATGTTCGACTGAAAAGCATCATTCGCGCAAAGAATTTGAGAGGCGATAACGAAGCGAAAATGTTACTAAATGCGAAAATCTTGATTCTAGGGTCAATTCGATATGCTCGGATCCCAATGGTATTGCCTCGGTAAATCGCTCGTTTTCAAGCTTATCTAATGGGCAATAAGGAACGGCGAAGGAAATTCATTGAAGAAGGTGAGCCAGCAAAGGAGGGGTGACACTTGGAAAGAGCAATAAATGGCTACGGCTTGAGCAGCGCGGCTACTCCGCCCTTAATCGAATGGAAACAGACGGCACCCAATAGCCGGAGCCACTGGAAACAATTGAAGAAGGTGCTTTCTATTTGGCATGGAGCTTGTCTACTTCAGTACGTCATATAATGTGACACACAGATAAGCAGAACTTCATAAAAGTCGCAAAAATCAGTCGAAAAATGAAATTCTTAATTCCTGTTGGCCATGAGAGCCCCAAATGCTAATTATAAACACGATTTAAGTCACTTCTGGTTGATTCTGAACGCAGACAAAAGTCATATCCGGAAAAAGCACTGCGGCATTATAGTGAGTAAAGGTAAACACACACAACTCGCAGGTTATACCACCTATTCCGAAATAATACTTCTGAACTTTGTAACCGCTCACCAGGCTCTAGTTCCTCTTCGGTGAGTGGGGCACGATTAAAGGGATTCGTTTGACTGCTGAGCAGATGCCGCATGATATGCTTTCGATCCATGATATGACCAGATGGTAATCGGACTGGATCTTCCATTAGCGTATCCATTACAGGATCTGGAACAATAACTGAAATGGTCATTCACTTTAACAGAACGAAAAACATTACTAGCCCTTGTTTTTGATTGTTACTAGCCCTCTTTTAAACAAGTTCAAGAGACATTTGAAAGCAGGTGACAAAATTGGCGTTTGTTCAGAACGCGACGAATACTCGAGCAAGAGGCTAAAAATCACACACAATATTCTTTGGATTGAGACATAAGGGAGAAGAATTATTTCAATAGCAGCGAGAT